GGAGTGACAACCAGACAGTAGATGTCATGGCTTCTGTTTCCTTTGCATCTTTTAGGTAAGGGCAAAACCTGTTCCAAAGGGCAGGTTTTGGCTACTTGACCTCTGTGAAAGAGGTTCTGTTTTCAGACAGAAAAACCAGATAGCAGCACGTCCACCACTTGACTTCTCCAGACAGGTAATAATTGTGGAAATGTACCTCCCCATCCAGGTGACGCAGGAGAACACTTATGTTGGATAGCACCAGAGCTGGAATCTGTTCAGCCAGTTCAGTTATAAAGGTAGCATAACCCTTGATTCCAGAAGCATCATGGGCCAGATCCTGCGGACATTTCTGTCCGATTTCTCTGCACAGAAAGATGAAACAAGGAATAGGGTGCCTCAAGTTGCTAGGGATAGAAGGACAAGCCTCAGTGTATTTTTCTCACCTTAGCAATTCACCCACCAGGCTTTTCAGACCATACTCTGTAGCCCAGAGGCTCACAGCCTGTGCAAACACTGGAGCCACATGTTCAAAGTGCTGCAGCATCTGTGTGATCTTCAGAGTGGCACCTTTCGCACGTGAGGAGGAAGAAAGAGGTCAGGGAAAGTAACTGGGAATGGCTTCAGGAAGAAGGCAGAAGAGCAGGAACTCACTGAACATGTGATCATACTGAATCAGAGCTGCAGCAAGCAGATGTGTCACAGCCTCCCGTGTGGCACGGTACTTCTGAAGACCAATACTTGGATTCTCCAGGATACGGTAGCAGCTTCCTGTCATTAAGCTAAAGCCACAGAAGAGAGACAGTGAACCTCACTAATCACAATTTGCACCAACATCATTCTAGCACACTGCATGAGGCAAACAGTTCTCTCAAACCAGAGAGATTCTCCAGTATCCTTAAAAAACTGAGCAAACAACATCTGAAGTTTAGAGGCCTTCATGAGGAAAGGAAGAGGTTCCTAAAAAACATTGCTTTTGCCTCAAGACAGTGTCCCGGTTTTGGCTGGGATGGAGTTAATTTTCTTCCTAGTAGCTGGTATAGTGCTGCTTTGGATTTAGGATGAGAATAATGTGATAACACACCGATGTTTTAGTTGTTGCTAAGCAGTGTTTATACTAAGTCAAGGACTTCTCAGCTTCCCATGCTCTGCCAGCGAGGAGGTGCACAAGAAGCTGGG